GGAAGATGCCGACCGTTTGTACGCTTCCAAAATATATTTAGCATGCGTAAATATGTACTGCATGTCAAGGATTTTCTTATTATAGATTCATGCAATGCAGGTGTACAGTTGTAATCAAAATAAGGTCGTAAACAGTTTCGATAAACTGTAGTTAGACATCTCCTCTGTACGGATGGTGTTCAACGCTGCAACTGTTATAAAACTCAGGTAACATGGGAGCGTGCTCGAGAGCTTTTGTTGCTCGTGAAATGACGGGGGTAAATTTAGCACTGTACATGCTCAAACACAGCTGAACCTTTGCTTATTTAAATACACTCTTTATAAAACTATGTGCAATATGTGGCAATTGCTGCTTGACGGGAGCTAAAGAATGAGGAGGATAAGGGGGATGTTACTCCGTGATATACTTTCATGAGTGAGTGCCATTTGTAATAAATTGTTTTCATGAGGCTGTGCTGATCACCGTTGCTACGCCATCAAGCAGAATCTCAAACTACGTGATAAGTGTAATGTGTAGTATGTTTTCTCCTTTAAGAAATCTCATGGGTACTTATTTATCTAGGCACGAGTGAAAGAAAGAGGAGTGGTAATACTGGGTGTCAAATGCGGGGCCTCTCGGTTCTGAGTCCGATGTTCTATCATTTAATTTCTCCACCTTTTAGGGGGAGTCATGTCAAACACTAGATTACATAAATGTGTGTGTAATAATTCTAATTCGAAATCATATAAAACCCATGGATGAAGGCTCATCTTTTAAATTTCGTCTCCTTGACCGTTCACCTGTTTCGAATAGGTGGTCTACTGCAGCGTGGCCAGCGCGTTTTACAATCCGTACTACTACGCTCGGTCGCAGGTGATGCCGTATGGCATGGTAGTTTCAAACCCCGGCCTGGAGGACGAATATCAAGAAATGGCGAAGCGCTACTTGTCTCGCCATGATTCAGGTACGCAGAGTGAGGTCGACGAATAATTTGCACGTAACTCGTTGCATTAGATTTTTCAGGATCCAAGTCACGACGGTATTTCGACAAGTTGGAAGGAGTGTTGCCGTCTACTCCGTAAGATGTGGGAACTGGTTTCAGTCAATCAACAGAAAATGTCATTTTCAACCGAGCCTTTGCTACTACTTCTGTCGCAAAGTTCGAACGTTCATTAAAAGTGTCTCTGGTTATTAAAAATGGGTTTTTAAAATCCGTCGGAATATAGTGAATAAATAACGTTGTACTTGTCTGCGTTTATCAACCTTGCTTGAACTACTCTAAAGTGGCAAATTAAGCCGGTACGATTTAAATCACGATCTTTCGATGTTTCCTGAGCCGTCAAAAGCTGCACCTTCAACCTCGATCGGCATCATGACAAGGGATGGGATGACATCTGCGGAGGTCAGCTCCTTGGAAGGGCTTAGGCCTAAAGCGTAGAGGCAGCATAAAGAAATACTTATCAAATTCAACAGTCTAACACAACTATCGTTCGTCAATGGGCTACGTGTTATAAAATGCTTATCATTTACGAAGCTCTTACTGAGGACGCAAATAGGGAATGTTCTCAAGTTTTTCTATCTGAAATAATGCCGCGTGAGCAACTTCCTTCTGCATAGATATAATGCCAGGTCGGACAAAATTTTGTATGTAAAATTTAACAAATACTCTTCCGTACAGAATATTTAAGCATCTAATACTGACAGCACCGTAGATATGGTTCTGAATCAGGAAAATTCTCTATCGTACAACAGAAATCATCAAAGACAAATGAAAGAAGATGAAGAAACACATCACTGTAACAATGAGCATTCTTCAGTGAAGAAGTCATATGGTTTATCCTCATAAAAATGACGTTCAAAATTATGCCATGGGAATCAAGTTGTTATAATTTATTGCAGCAGAGTGAGTACCAGGCTGAAGTACTTCTAAGTGAAGCAGCTCATTCTGTACTTTAGGGCCTTTAGAGAATTTTGTTAATCCACTTCGCAGTCGTGATGTTTCTCATACAGCGCTAGGACGGCTCTCAATGACGGAAAGCGCTCTTCGCTTGGACCGAACCTGTGATTCTCTAGAGCCGCCTCGTTGTTTAACACCAGACCGCACATTGGGGGGGGGGGCACATAGCACTGGGAGAAGCCAATATTCAGCTATAAAAATTAGCTGAGTACTATAAACCACAAATATCGTTGAACCATTGAAAACGAAGCGCAGCTATTAAGCCACCTGTCATTTCCCACGCCGCGCATGCGGCAGAAGATTCTAATGTACGAGCTGTGCCGTTGCGAAGAAGCCCGTTCCAGCGTCCATGCATCAAGAGACATGCGTTCAGGAAGGAAGGGAAAATAATAATGCAAAGAATTTGTGGCAAATACGTAAAATGGATTCACACTCAATGGTGTGTGGTGGTGGGGCAGTGGTGTCTATCATTGCAGGCTTCACGTTGATGAGAAAATTAACGCTGACCTTAAAATTCATTCCATTTCAATAAAGTATGCTTCACCTTGTATCGGTTAGGAGCATAACTAATAATTTTACGCTGACCAAACCCACTGAGGAAATTTGCTTTGCATCTGTGACTCAGTCAGGCAGTTTCGACAATCGATTATCCTTGCGGGGCGCTGAGGCAGCAGCATCTGAACATTGACTCCAACGCGTTGGTCATGCGCCAAGATCTAAGCTTTGGCAGTAAAGTCCCGGGTCTGGAACAATGTTTACCCTGGCACTTGTTCCAGGTCATTTTTGAATATCCCTGAAGTCTTCGGCTATCGGTTGGACGAATAGTACCTGTTATGCCATTCTTTCTGGAAGAATCTGCAAAACGTGCACAAACCATCGCGATTGCAATTTTTCAATCTGGAAAATCAGCGGTGATACAGCAAAGCTTTCCTCGGTATCAGCCATCGGAACTGCGAACCCTGTCGAGATACTTGAATTCCAGGATTTGTCTCAGAAAGCCTTCTGCTTTATATGAGGTGAACAAAACCGAGTTGAAGAAAGATGAATGACTCCATGTGCAAGTGCATCAATAAAGAAAATGCATTCATCACCCGGAGCATGCAAAGTTAGTGGTAATTGAAGTCACCTCCAACAGGTTGGAGAATCGTTGAAGGTCCCTTGTTCATTTACAACTTTCCTGGTGACTCATTAGAGCGTATTGTTGAAACTTTGTTTACAATTAAGCGCCCTTGGGACAACGGCACCAGTTCATACGTCATTAACAGTATTTCTTCGATTTGACGAACTATTTTGGAAAGAGGATGTCCGTAAAGTATAGTCTATATATATATTACAAGATGTTATAAAACTTTGTTCTGCTCTCTACGTGGTAAATAGAGAATATCACATTCCATAGCATTTAATGACTCCGTCAAGATACCAAGAATAATTTAGCACGTGTGATGAGATTTTGTTTTATCCTAGATTTTTTCTATCCAAAGAGTTGCTCTGCAGTTTCTTTGCTAGTTTATGCCAATTAATTAGACTCGCATTTTTGATGGACCGTGATTACGAATAACGTCGAGCTTTAATCTGTCTAAATTACAATCGCCTCTGCCAATTTGATTCTTATTTTATGTATTATTTGTTTTAAAACGCGGCTGACCTGTTTCAGCCACAGGACTGACATTTAGGCAAATGTGCGTGTCTCCAAATACCTGCGTCATAACCCTCGATCGGTCGCATGGCGTCGTCATTTGACTTACCCCAGGGGCCATGATCTGCGCACATACGGCAACAGTGACAGCTACTCGACTGTTTATCTATCTCCCTCGACGTTTCTCGTTTCCCGCCGAGACATTTCCTCATTTAAGTGCATTCATCATCGAGATTAATGAAAACGGAAGCCTAGACATTTAATTACTTAATAAACAATAATATGTAGTGGTGACAATTTTCATTCTCTCCATGTTAAACAACCCTCCAATCATTAAATCTGTGCTTGATCACCTTCATGATCCTATAACACATTAAATGCATTAAATATTTTCCATTGGATACGCTTTCGGCTTGGAAAAAGACCTGCTCCTCATCGATCCAGTAACCACGACTTCATCGTATGCACCTCAGATGCGTCGCACAATGATTAACTGAAGCAGTGATTTCATATAAACATATTTCGCTACTGGGACAAACAATGGAACGATAATGAGGATCATACTTAGTTACCCAATGCTCAGCAAGTGTCTTCCATCTTCATTACTGATTTCAGACCGAAACAGAAGCAGCGTGCTCTTAAGCTTTGGCTTCAATGCCATTCATTTTTTATGCATGTCCATCAGTCCACGTGGTTTTAAATATTAATTCTTGCTTAGTTCTTTCCAAGGTAATGGCAGTAATGCCGAACTGCTACGCCTTGACATCGGCTCCAACATGACATGAAACCTTGGCTCATTTTTAAATTAATTCGACTGATACGTTGCACAGTAATACTACTCATACTTCACCTATCTAAAGGTTCTCCGTAACAGGGATCAGCTGTTCGAGTCAGCTGTCTCCACAGTTTTGGTGCTTTGTTAAATCTTTGGTTTTCCTCGCAGTTTCATATGCTTCTTGGCGACATAGCGCCACCTCTTCTTCAGTCCCCCCCCCCTATTTTCTTTCCTGGCAGTATCGGTGATTGGACCACATTTCCGACGTACTTTTAAGATCTGCCTTCCAGGTAGCCGAACCAACGGAGCCTGATTTCGATAGTCTATTCTAGAATTGATGCAACTCCTAAAATGCTTCTCATGAAGGTGTTCAGGATGTTGTTCTTCTTGCTGAAACCACCTGAGCATTCACATTTCTACCCAATTCCGCTGATGCTCGTGGCTCTTCAGGGTGACTGAACATCTCGCTCCTTACAAAAGCGCCGGTCTTACTATACCTCAATTTGATGGATGTTTTCTTCTCGTGTGCCACACCGCTCACCTCTGTCCATTTGAGCCACCCTCTTATGGCCGATTTCATAATTCAGTGTCCACCTCACCGTTCAGTGTCTTGAAAGATGAAAATAATGTATAGGAATTTTTGGGCTTTGACTGAAAGACTTCTAACGATTTTTCGGCTTTACCTCTGCATCTGCCGTTGAAACAATGTTATAATGAAATCTAACTTGCCTTTATTCAAACGAAGGAAATGGTTTTTTCACCGACTGCTGTTCACGAGTAAGTTTTTGCTTCTTACGTTAATCTACACAACATCATCTGCATAAAACATGCAATAATGAGCTGCCATGCAGATCTTTGGTTATTGCTACTGTCGCCATCCCTACCTGCATCAGGAATTCCTTGTTTCACATGATCTATTTCGAACCGCCGTAATAGCTCCATGGTTCCTATCTGTTTTTAATTCCCCAATAAATGTCAACTTCGGAATTCAGCAAAAATTGTTTTTGCAGGCCTAGGAGTGCCGTATAAGAATGATATATAAAAATAAATTATTGTGCTTATTTAATTTCATTTAATTTATGACTACACGTTTGTATCGATCTCGACTGTCAATATGACGTTAAAATATTCATAATAACTGTTAACTTTCTTGAGAAGGAAGAAATTCATCGCACTGCGCTCAAAATGCAACTAACCGTGAAAAGGCTAGCAAGTCGTTGATCCACGAGCACAAACGACGGGGTGTTTTGGCGTGGTCACGCCAGAATGTGTGATTCTCTTTACATATGCAATTCTCCTTAACTCACTTTCCCAAAAAGTAGCACAGGGGGTAGGCCGTTAAAAAAAATTTTAAAACATTGCTTCTCAGGCAGATTAAACCAGGCATTGATTGTGACTTTCGTCTGGTCCACGGCTACTTTTAAAGGCAGAAGCGGAAGAGGAAGAGAAAGAAAATCGTTTCTTCGCTTTGGCAAGAAGGCTTGCTATCAGCATGCAGCAGCATTTCTATGAAATATAATACATAAATGTAACAATACAAGAATTCGTCGCCTGAAACGGTTAGACTACAAGTTTTGTACAATGTTTCGTCTATTCACATGTCACACGTGAGGAACGGTATTAACTTAGCTATTGTAGGCAGTAAAGCTAAATGTAATTCTTAAATTCAGTTCATTTGCTTATGCAACGAGGGAAAATCAATGTAAAATGATAT